ATTTAGTTATCTCTGGAATGATGTAAAAACGAGCGTTCTTGCTCATTTTGCTTCCGAGAAACATGCAAAACGGGGCGGAAAACATGAAATTTTGCAATAATCTTACGTCACCCTTGCACAAAACGATGATAGTTTTTCTAATTTCATAGACAACAGAAGACTGTATTTTTTCTACATAACCCCCCCCTGACTTTAAAGCTGGATCCGCCCCTGGACCACCTTTCATTGGCCATAGACTTGAAATTCGTCAAAGAAAGATAGCAAAAAAATCGAAATCGCTCCTTCTTACGCCTAAGTGGAATTGTGGGCAAATTTTCCTAGCAACAAATTTGCATACCTAAGTATAGTGGGCAGGTAGACCCGCGGTGCTTGAAAGCTATGGTTAACTGCTGGACAAAAGGGGCCCACACTTGGCAACTTCTTCAGAGGACTTTAGGCCCTCCAGCTACGCGAAACCATGTTATATGGCCTTTTTCTCGCAAAAAACGAAAAACTGAGCATTTTATGCGCGAATTGTTATTTCGAGAAAATGCGGTTTAAGTGCTTGGCTTTGGGCTTACGTGCTAAAAACAATCGCGTTTCGACTGGCACATTTGTAACATGCACATTTTATGCAGAAGCGTTTCATCATGCTGCATTTGGGGGGACACCAGCCTTGATATTTCCCACATTTTTGCTCATCTCTTCCAAACAGTTCGCTGATTTACTGATTCTAAACTTGGTTTCCATTTGTAGATAGTAAAATTGAATCTTCTATTAGAATGCAAATGTCATGGTGTGTCTGGGAGCTGTACAATGAAAACCTGCTGGAGAACGTTGCCGAGCTTCAGGCAGATTGGAGATGCCTTGATGGACAAATTTTACCGGGCAAGGTAAAGTGAACATTTCCGCGGAAAAGTTCCTTCAAGCTTGGCAGAAATAGTTTAAATAATCGTCAATAACTGTTTTTCCAGGTCTGTTGCCGCTGTGCCTCAGACGCAAAGTGCGCGGAATGTACATATGCGAAAAGCTAAAAGGCAACATCTAGTTCTAACCAAAGGAAAGATGCCCAGCAAGCGAACGCCGAAGAAAGTCGACTTGGTGTTCCTGCAAATATCTCCCAATTATTGCGAAAGAGATGTAACGTCTGGAAGTCTGGGGACTGTTGGGAGATCGTGCAATATCACATCGAGAGGTAGTTTGCAGTTTTGTTTGTTAATAAGCGGGAAAAATTGGGAAAATTTTCAGGAACTGATGGATGCGACCTGATGTGTTGCGGTAGAGGATACAATACCCACCAATTTGTGAAAACCTCCCAGTGCAGATGCAAATTCCATTGGTGTTGCAGGGTGGAATGTGAGACGTGTAGTGAGATATCCGAAGAGTATTCCTGCAAATAAATCGCACTGATTTTAGGCAGGGCGCGTCTGGGGAATTTTCGGATAACACATCAGTTATCCCCATCAATTCCCCTTGGTCGAGCGAGTCAAAGCATTTTAAATCAATGGCGCAATTTATGCAATTCACTTAATGTTATAGATATCAGGTATTCGAGTAACGGCCCATAAATTATCGCATGTTCTAATCGTTCTGATGTATTTAGCCGATTACGTACTAAACCAATTTACAACAAATGACAATATGTATGATAGTAGCACCTAATTATTTTTAGTCACTAGCAACTGTAAATATTCTTAGATTGTACTATATACCTGCAATAAGACGATCATCTTGACAATAATAGTTTAGTCATGTAACTTAAGGCACTATCTTAGCTTCAAGTAATCGCGAATCTCATTAACTTAACTTAAATTATTTATTAAAATTACAATTGTCAGAGCCAGGTCGATAGCGAGTTGATAAAACACAACTTTTGGTGCGGTTTTCCAACTTTTGCCACTGCATTTGCAATTTACCGGCAAATACGGAAATGCAAGATGCAAAGTGATATTAAATATTTTGTTGTTTGTATGATACGAATCGCCCTTCAAATTGAATTCGCACTGGGCTTCGTTTGTACTGCAAGCATTTTTTCTTGTTGATTGTGATGAACGGGGGCTACTCAATAATAGAAGCATTTTTTGCAAGTAAACTTTTTTAATCATTTTGAAAAACTTTGCAGGCACAAAGTAAAGTGGATTCACGAAATAATTCTGAGTGATTGAAACCGCAAAAAACCTGTCATTTAGGCGCAATTCAAAATACTCATTAAATTGAGGATCTTCCAGAAGATGAAGTTTTTATCTCTCCTATCTACTTCCATTGTTGAGCAGTTATCGCGTACTTCTATACATTCCATTTGAGTGTTTTCAATGAAATTTTTATTATTTATTTGATTTGAGCTCATTGATCATGGTGTGCACGGAACGTTTTGTGATTGTAAGTAGGGCTGATTCTTCAGGAAATAAATGCCTTAACAAATTCCCAACAGTGTTTTCGATTATTTCCAATTATTGAATGAAACTCCTATTTTTAGGCCTTTTGATTTTTCACTTTATATCTACATTTCTTTCTATGGAGAGAATATGGAGAATGCGCTTTTGTAAGGATGATCCGAATAGATAAGTTCTATATTGTTGAGGCGCATTCATTTTTTTACAAACTTCTTCTTGGGTATTTCGCCTCAAAAATTTTTGTCTTTAAAAAAACAGAAAAAAGAAAACCCATAACTGACAATTTGCACAGACGAATTATCAGAGCGAATTTTCATATACTGTATTATCCTACTATTGTTACACTATTTATTAACATACTCCTTTTAGGTTCATTCAGGTTCTTTTGATAACGATAGCAGAAAATAGCTACCGAAACGTCAAGGTAATTTTTCAAATTAATTTCTTGTGTAATTGGAGTTTTCTCTTACAGCTTGAGCCTAAGTGTGTCGCAGGATACCCTTTAGGTGACAGTTCTTGATACTTTTTGATAAATAATTCGTTCTTATTACGAAATAGGAGCACTATTTATCAATCTGTAATAGAAGACGTGAGGAAATTCTGTCTTGGTAAAGGCAAAAATTTTTGAGGCGAAATGCCCAACAAGAAGTTTGTAAAAAAAAAGATGATCCAAATGTTTGAGCGATCCCCGAAACTTTGGAATGGCGTACTTGTTTTTTCGAAGACGATGGCAAAGCACTACCAAAAAGCAATGAAAATTAT